TTGCTAGCTTAAATTAGTAGAGACTAATAAATAGCTGGTAGCTTACACTAAAACTCTATTCTAATTAATTGCTGCATATGAAAGCTCTTTTCCCAATTGTCTACGGTAGAAATAACCCACACGTCGAGTAGCCAATTTTCCTTTCCTTAGATCTCCAATTTGGGGCTCAGGTGCGAAGGTCAGGTCCACCTTTTGGTTGGGTCCTGGGCCAAAGTTAAGTTCTCTATCAGCAACCTGGCAGAGTTAATGGGAGGGTAAGTCATTGCTAGAGGTGTTCTGGCTGTGACAGGGCAGATGGGAATGGAATCAATGACTTCTAAGAAAAGACAAGAGGTTCGGGAGGAGGGTGGTATAATCACACAGCAGATAAATCCCAGAAACAGCGAGCCAGTACCTGTCTGAAATGGCATTCTGTTTTAAAATATACTGGGTCTGTTTGGAACAGTCGTTTCCAAGAGTTACTGATTCTTACCGAAAGTCGAAGAGATTGCAAATTTACTACAGTCACTGCCACTTGCAGTAGAAATGATAGGCATTTCAAATGAAAATTATAAGATATATTGAAAAATGCTGCCATGTAAAGAATAAGAACAATGGAACAAGAAGAAACCATTCATCCCCTCAAGCCTTTTCCAGTTTGATTATAGTTAATCTGTACCTTAATTCTTCCTTTATTCATTACCCTTTGATGGCCTTTCTAGATAAAAATCTCTCAATGTCAGATCAAGGTTCTCTAGTTAATTCCTTTCCCTTACTCTAAGGAGGTAACGATGCAATGAATGGATTGTCTCCAACACCACAAAAGCTGCCAGCTTGGATATATACCATCCTTTCGTCATACTGGGCTGATATGCTGGAACTCCTTCCCTTCCAATTTGTGGACACATCAACAGCACAAGGACTGAAGTGGTTCATAAACGACAGGCTCACCACCACCAATGACTGGATAACAGGAATTGCAATAGATGCTGGTCTAGTGGCCTAGTGGTATTATCACTGGACTGTTAATCCAGAGACCCAGATAATGTTCTGGGAACCCGGGTTTGAATCCCGCAATGGCAGATGGTGGAATTTGAATTCAATAAATATGGAATTAAGAGTCTAATAATGACCATGAATCCATTGTTGATTGTTGGAAAAACCCATCTGGTCCATTTACGTCCTTTAGGGAAAGAAACTGCCATCTACCTGGTCTGGCCTACATGTGATTCCTATCCACAGCAATGCGGTTGACTCTGAACTGCTCTCTGGGCAATTAGGGATGGGCAATAAATGCTGCCTGGCCAGCAACACCCTCATCCCGTGAATGAATGAAGAAAAAAAACACGACGTAACTACACTCACAATGCTGTTAGGGAAGGAGTTCTAGGGCTTTTCTGGATGATATTAAACTGCTTAAGTGTTGTTGGAGCTGTCTCTATCCAGGGAAGGCGATGGCCGGTGGCATTATCGCTGGACTGTTAATCCAGAGACCCGGATAATGATCTAGGTACCTGGGTTCAAATCCTACAACAGCAGATGGTGGAATTTGAATTTAATAAATATCTTAAATTAAGAGTCTAATGACGATTGTGAATCCATTGTTGGAAAAACCCATCTGGTTCACTAATGTCCTTTAGGGAAGGAAACTCCATCCTTACCTGGTTTGGCCTACATGTGACTCCAAACCCACAGCAATGTGATTGACTCTTAACTACCCTCTGGTCAATTAGGGATGGGCATTAAATGCTGCCTAACCAGTGATACCTTCATCCCGTGAATGAATAAAGGAAAAAAGGCAAGTGGGGAGTATTCCAACACCCACCTGACTTGTGTCTTGTAGATGGTGGACAGACTCTGGGAAGTCAGGATGTGAGTTAGTCACTGCAGGATTCCTAGCCTCTGGCCTGCTGTTGTAGCCACAGTGTTTATACAGGGAGTCCAGTTCAGTTTATGGTCAACGGTAACCCCAGGATATTAACACAGGGAGAGTCAGTGATGGTAACGTTAAAAGGAGCTAGTTAGATTCTCCTTTTATGAAGATGATCATTGCCTGGCACTTGAGCAGCATAAATATTTTCAAGCTGCTCCTTCAATGACCAACTGCACACCCACTCCCCCCACCTCCCCATTATAAGGTCAGAAGAGGGGATGTTTGCTGATGATTGTACAATGTTCAGCACCATTCACAATTCCTCAGATACTGAACCATTCCATGTTCAAATGAAACAAGATCTAAAGAATACAAACCAAAAGAACTGCAGATCCTTTGAATCAGAAATAAAAATATAAATTTCCGGAAAAGATCAGGAGGTCTGGCAGCATCTGTGAAAAGAAATCAGAGTTAACATTTCAGGTCGAACGACCCTTCCTTAGAACAGATGGTAGCTAGGAAAATGTCAGTTTATAAGCAGAAGATAGGGTGGAGGGAGTGGGTAAGGAGTAAACGATAGATGGGGATAGAGTCCAAAGAGAGAGAACAGTTGGACAAAGAAGTGGATAATGATCTGGCTAGGAGGGTGAATAGCTATTAATGGAGACTGTTAGTGGCTAACAATGGCAGACTATGTAATAATAAGGCCTGGTGTGTGAAGGTTGGGGTAAGGACATGGGAGAGTTCAGCCCTAAAAATATCGAACTCGATGTTGAGTCCAGAAGGCTGTAGGGTGCCCCAAGCGGAAAATGAGGTGCTGTTCTTCCAGCTTGCGCTGAGCTTCACTGGAGCATTGCAGCAAACCTGAGACAGAGATGTTGGCCAGGGAATGTGATGGTGTGTTAAAGTGGCACGCAATTGTAAGTTCAGGGTCTTTTTTGCGGACAAAGTGTAAGTGTGTTGCGAAGAGGTCACCCCGTCTACACTTCGTTGCAGTGCAGGTATTCTCAGTATCCAAGGGGCCAAACACTCTTTCCCGGTGTAGCAGGGCTTTACCTGCACTTCACACAATCTAGTTTACTGCATTCGCTGCTCACAATGTGGTCTCCCCAACAGCACATGGACAGCAATAGTTCAAGAAGGCAGCTCACCACTGACTTGTCCAAGGCAATTTGAGGTTGGCAACAAATGCTGGTCCAGTCAATGTCAGTTAACTCAGTTGGCTGCCTTGCAATGTACAGTGATGCTAACAGCATGGGCTCAATTCCCACACTGTCTGGGGTTACCTTAAAGGACTCTCTTTCTCAATCTCTTCCCCCAAATGAGATGTGCTGACCGTCACGTTAAACCACCACTAGTTGTCTCTCTCTAATGAGAACAACCTAATGGTCTGGTAGGACTATGATGAATTTACATTTATCCTGTGAATTAACATAAAAAAGTCTTTTGCTTCACTTTAGATAAATAATAATAGACCTTAGCCAGAATCTGTCATATAATTTGGTTTACTGAATCATAAATTTACAAAATCTTGTTTACCATGCAGTTACCCAAACCTTTTAGTCCATAATTGCTCATTATGAGTAACTTACTGAAGCCCTTTATTACCTTATTTCTAGAATATAAAAGCATGCAAAAAATATCCTCTTTATATTGATACATATTTACAATGTAACATTTGCATCTCTCCCCAGACTGAGAATCATGCGTAAAATATACTTACTATAGTTACTACAATGCACATTCATTATTAACGTCCATTAGACACAGCAAACACTAATATTAATAATTCAGGCTGATGTAGTATAGATATAGCAGTGCAGCAATGAATGATACATTGATGGTCTGAGTGCTTCACAAGATAAAGGGCTACAGGAAATTCTTTGTAGCAATTCAACTCCACTGATCACAAGGAGAGCAAGTTTTTTATGCAGCCTCTTGCCTCAGCAGACATGCAAACCGTCCCAATCACAGAATAGTCTTCAGTGGTAACATCAGCCACTAGTGTTGTATTTCAAATGGATACATGTCAACTATTAAACCTTGGTTCACCAGCTCTGTTTATAGCTTGTACAACACAGCTATGGGTCACGCATATTCACATTTTTGGTGGGCTCTTCTTTACAGATGGATGTAACTTCACACTGTTCCTGGTGGCGTTCTTGTATTTAACCAGGATGAAATTTTCACTGGATAGTTACTCATATTCTATGTTTGAACAACAAATCAGCTGAACACTGTGCATTTCTCTAAGGCAGTGCTTTTAAACGTTGTTCCTACTGAGACCCCATTTTGAAGCTTGAAAATTACTGCATTCCCTCAATGAGACACAGTCATAGAGCATGGAAACTGACCCTTCAGTCCAACTAGTTCATGCCGACCATGTTCCCAAACCAAACTAGTCCCACCTGCCTGAGTTTGGCCCATATCCCTCCAAACCCTTCCTATTCACGTACTTATCCAAATGACTTTTAAATATTGTAACTGTACCCATATCCACCACTTTCTCTAGCAGTTCATTCCACATACAAACCACTCTCTGTGTAAATAAAGTTGCCTCCTCAGTGTGCATGATAAACCTTTTCAAAAAGGTTTATATATGCACACTTGTAAAATCCAAACTGTTCTCCAATAATCTTTGCATCTTTATTTGATTTTTTTGGCAATAAATCTGCTACTCATTTTCACTAAAGAAACCTGGCTGACTTGTTCTTAATATCTGACCCTGACTTAGCTGACACCTACATAATTTGCATGTCACCAACCCTGGTTAAATTTAAAATTTGTTGTGATCAGCAGAGAACTGTAACTAGCTGTTATAGGAAGGATAATATTAAGTTGGAGAAAATTTAGAAAAGATTTATAAGAATGTTGCTGAAAATAGAGGATTTTAGTTATAAGGAGAGGCTGGATAGGCTGGGAGTTTTTTCACTGGAGCATAGGAGGTTGACAGGTGACCTTATAGATGTTTATAAAATCATGAGGGGCATAGATAAGGTGAATGGCAAGTGTCCTTTCCCTTTGGTTGGGGATTTCAAAACTATGGAACATATTTTTAAGGTGAGAGGAGAAAGATTTAAAAAAGACATGAGGGGCAATTTCTTTGCACAGAGAGTAGTTCCTGTGTAGAATGAACTTCTAGAGGAAGTGGTAGAGACAGTTACAGTTACAACGTTTAAAAGACATTTAGATAAGTACATGAGTAAGAAATGTTTGGAATGATATGGGCTAAGCACAGGCAAGTGAGAGGAGTTTAGTTTATGATTATGGTCAGCATGGATTGGTTGGACCAAAGCATCAGTTTCTGTGCTGTATGACTCTATAAAATATCTGAGAGAGCAAGCAGTGGGGGCTGAGGGAGAGCAGGAAGGGGGCCTGAGATTCAGTGGTCTGACTCGTGTTGTATGTCTCAAAATAGAGCTCCATCACAGTCATTATGTTCATTTCTAAGTACTACTGTTTTACTTTATTGATGTTTCCCTCTGAGGTTATGATTAGGTGAGAGTTCCACAGTGGCCACCTTTATCTGAGGCTGTGAACCCAAACTTCTAGCTTGCAATCCCACTTGGGGATAGTAAGGACTAAGTTGGTGACCAGTGGTGAGCAGATAAACCTGCACACTAGCAACAGTGAGATACAATGCTACCTCTCAGTGACCCTATGTGCAACAACGTCTTTACTGGGTGGTAATTCCTAATGGAGCTAATGCCCAGTTTACATGCATGCTGCCCACTGCTTTTGCCCACCCCTTCCACCTCTACCATCTGTTCTTCAAGATAGAACATATAGAATTGCAGCTTATGACTCTCACGGATGATTTTATAAGAGCTACTTGCAACTCTTGGACACAATCAGTGTTGCAAGTCACAAAATAATTACATATCTACTTAACAAATGTGTGTTGCTCAGGTAATACCCGGTGACAGTAATTATATTCGATACAGCTCTGTTCACAGACAGATGTTCAGGGTGAGGAGTGATATCAGTCCTCAGTTTGACTCGAGATAGTCTGAGGGTAGATTTTCGATAGAAAGCTTCAGTTGCAGAGCAAAAATGCACTAAATAGCTTTAGGAGTTTGGATACCATCAATAGTGGGTGCTGGAGATTTTAGCTGAATGCATCATGACATTTCTTATATGGCAGTCCCCTGAGCGACTATTCATCTTGCTGGGAGGCTGTACTATCTTATTAACCTCATTGATAAAACATTCACTGACTGGGGAAAAGGTACATGAGTTTAAATGCAGTTTCTCTTTCGTGCCTGGTAGTCAGAATGAGAATCTGATCCCACACAATTATAATGCAATCTCAGTAGCTGACTTTACATTGGTCAGTAATGTTTATGAAAAGGTCAGTGGTTTAATAGGAATCAAACAGAGCTCTGACTATTAATTATAGCCTTGTACTATTTTCCCTTATCACAATCAGTGCAAACCAATAAAGGACAATGATAAAGGAATAGAAAGCTTTAGTTCAATCTTGAGGATGACTCTTGTGCACTAGTTTCTCACTGCAATTGTACAGGGCCTTGCTGAGATCACAAGCTGGAGTACTGTGTGCAATTTTGGTCTCCTTATCTGAGGAGTGATGTCCTGTCTATGGAGGGAGTGCAATAAGGCCGATTCCTGGGATGGCAGAACTGACATATGGAGAGAAACTGGATCAGTTAGGACTATATTGAAAGGAGTTTCGAGGAATCCCATAGAAACCTATTACATTCTAACAGGTTAAATGCATGAAGGATGTTCTTGATCATTAACAGTCCGGAACCAAGGGTCACAGTCCATTGAAATGGGCCATTTGGGACTCAGATGAGGAACTGTGGAATTCTCTATTACAGAAAGTGGTGGAGGCCAAAACATTGAATGTTTTCAAGGAGTTGGATACAATTCTTAGGGCTAAAGGGATGAAAGGGTATGGGGAGAAAGCACATACAGGGTACTAAGTTGGATGGTCAGCCACGATAGACTGGGAGTCAATGCAGGTCAGTGAGCACGGAAGTGAGTGGGGAATGGGTGAAGTAGTGGAGAAAAGGAATTCACTGTCCAGAAGATTCTGGATTCTGTAGTTCAGGAACAGCTTTCATTTCATTTTTGTTTTTCTTGTTTCGGGTTAGTGGGTAAGGGTGTCAACAAATATGGAGCAAAGATCAGTAAAATGGAGTTGAGGTGGAGATCATTCACGGTCTAATTGAATGATCTAACTTTCTCAAAGGGATGAATGGCCTTCTGCTTTCCTTCTGTATTATCCTTTACTCCCTACTCTGGGGTGAGCAGTAAATGCAAACCCCTGTGTAGTGTAAGTGAGACAATTAAATGTGCTATTCGGTTTCCTCTAGTTGTAACAATGACCACCTTCAGAAAACACATCAGTTGCTCGTATAATTCAGCAACACACATCGTTGACCAACCAAATACATCATTATATCTTAACACTAAAATTAATTGGTTAAATTCAACATTGACATACCCAATATTTTAAAAAAAAGTTACACATTTCTCACATAGCCAACAGTGAATGAAGGATCATTTTGACAGATCACAGTAAGTATTTTCTCAGGAAGTTTTTGTTTAAAAATTGGAAACTTAGATGGTCAATGCTAACAACTGGTGCCTGTGCAACTATAAATCATGTAACAGTAGCTGAGAGATTGTAAACTATGTTACAATAAGGTGCAAAATGTCTGACTGTAAACTGTGTGACTGTAAACTGTATGGCTGCGTGGTGTGTCACTGTGTTCTGTGACTGTGTTATTCCTGTAAACATCATGAGCCCATGCTTTATGACTGTTAACTACCACATCACTGCATGTTGTGTGATTGTAAACTTTGTCATAGCTGTGTCCTATATGCCATGTGCCTGTATACTACATGTCTTTTTGCCATGTGCCTGTTTCCCCCGTGACTCCATGTAGCTTAAAACTCTGTGGATGACTCTTAATTGCCTTCTAAAATGAGCCTAGCATGCCACTCAGTTCAATGGCAACAACATTCCAATATAGAATGAAGAATTACAGGCTTCTCTGCATGACCCCTTGAATTCTGACCGGATGAGAGTTTCCACAATCCTGGATTAACTATTAGGTCCAAAACCATACAGATTATCATGACTGAAATTTCTATCTTTTGCAGATCTGTAGCCCTAAGTGAGAGAGCAGGGAATGGTGTCAATCAATCACTGAACCAGCAAAATAATTAAAAGGCTAACTTATTTATGATCCATTCACTTATTACCATGATGCTTGCTTGATAAATCACTAATGTTATACATTACTAACTAAAGAGTGACTTCAGAGACACTAATCTTTGGAATGTTAAGTACCACAGCTCTGAGGTTCACACAGCACTGTCATAACAGTGCCTTGGCAGAACTGCATTAGTCTGCAGGGAATAAAAGGAAATGTCTGTATTTCTGTTACATAAGACCACCAGGTTTACGGCACTCAGTTGATACATGTCCGTCGATAAACTGCAGATTGCACAGTTTATCCAAACCAAGTTTCCATGTTATTCTTCACTGCAGCAAAAGTAGCTGAAGAGCCACTGAATGGTTCAATGTAGATGTATCAGAAACGATCATTTGTGATTGGAATCCAGCAGCCTTACAAAGCCCAACAATAGCTCATATGACAGATGGGCAATGATGGATTGATTGGATGATGAACAGTTTGATCTTTGACAATAAAACTTTCTATTTACAAACCCTATCTGGTGTTGTTTTGCTTGGCAAGGCAATCTGTAAAACAGGAATCCAAAGTATTTCTCTGTAGTCTTGTTGTGTCAACATGGGCTGGATGGCGTGAATCTCTCTCCTTCTCCTCAGATGCTTTGGTTGGTGACAGCCATGAGGAATGACACTTGAAGGTGGAAGTGATTTTTCTTGAGCTGAGCAAAGATAGGTCAAATACCAGGGTGCGACAGGCCGAACACAGCATGCACATGCTCAGGACACTCAGGAAATTGCTTCATCCTCGCAAACATCTGGCAGTTCCATCTCCTTCCCTGCGTCCCCACTGCTCTCCTTCCTGCAAGTTGGGAGAAACAAAAAAATGTACATTCCACTTCAAATTTACTCTTAAATAAAAACCAAAAGAACTGCAGAAGCTGCAAATCAGGAACAA